AGAAACGACCACTGGCTGGCATCTTTTCGTCACCGGGGAAGGCAATATGACGGGAATATGTGGGAGATAGAAATGGGAATTGGGGCTCCGAAATTGGGGTTAGGTTTGGGAAATAATGAGGTTAAGCTAACTTTACTTTTTGCCATTTATATCTAACTTAGAACTGAAGGTTATTTAATGTTGCATTTTTTCTACTAACATTTATGGTATGTATTTATTGTTTTTTTGCTGAATATTATTTCTAAACTAGTATTTGACCTTGTTCATTTGCACAGATATAAATAAAGTATCATAAGTTATTTACACGCATATAATATTAAAACTATAAGTTAGATAATGATATTATATTTTAAACATAGAGTATTATAAGTTATATTTATTCATGTAATATTAAACTATAAGTTAGATAATGGTATTATATTTTAAAATTTGATCCTTGGTTAAAATAAAGAGCACGTAACTATTTGATTGCATATGGATCACTATGTAATATTTGTAATTTGCTCGGCTGGTAAGTATGCATTTAAGTGGCAGGATGATTAAGAGAGGAACGTGAAAGGGTTAGACAATCCAAAGTGAGGGAGCTTAGGTTTACCTTTTCCAAAAACAGACATACATGAGCAAATTGAAGGCACTTGCAGATAAAGAGGGTTGCCTTAGTGACCGGTATCCACTTCCATGGGATTGTTGTGAGGAAATAAGGACAAAAAATCCAGGGACTACAGTGATTGTAGGCATTAATGAGCAGAATTTGTTTGTCAGGTTTTACATTTGTTTGGGTGTATTGAAGGTAGGGTTCAAGGCTGGATGCAGGCCCCTTATTGGAGTAGATGGTTGTAACCTTAAAGGTCCTAACAAGGGGGTATTATTCACTGCTGTTGGAGTGGATCCTAACAATTCACTCTACCCTCTTAGATATGTTGTATTGAGCAAAGAAAGCAAGGAAAACTAGGAGTGGTTAATCATGCTTTTGAAAAATGACTTGGATATAGGTAATTAGCCTGAGTGGACCTTCATTTCTGACAAACAAAAAGGGTTGATCCAAGCATTTTTACCAAGTTCTACCTAATTCAGATCACAAGTTTTGTTACCTTCTTTGTAATTTCTAGAATGCAGTAGGGAGTGCATATAAAAATGTAGTTTAGAAAGCTGACACACCAACTATTGTCAATGATGTCAAAAGGAAGATGGAGGCTCTCAGGGATTTGGATCATGGTGCTTTTGATTGGTTTGTTGAAGAACCTCGCCACTAATGCACCAGGTCCCACTTTAATGTCTTCCCAAAATGTGACATGCTGTTAAACAATGGATTTGAGAGTTTCGATTGTAATATCTTTGAAGCTAGAGAGATGTCCATTTTATTTATACTTGAGTGGATTATGGGGTACTAAATGAAGAGGCTTCAAAAGAACAGAGAGAAGACAAAACAAAAATTGGGAATTTGTACAGTATCCTAAGATCAAAGACATAATAGATGACCACGTTCAGAATTTAATGGACTGCATTCCTTTGAAATCTAATAACTTTAATTTCCAAATTGATTGTACATATGGTGAGCAGTAAAGTGGACCTCAGAAATCCTACATGTGGGTGTAGAAGATGGTACCTTAGTGGAATTCATTGCCTTAATGTTGTGAATGTTGTTCACTACCAATTTTGAGACATAACAAATTTCACTTACTCATTCCACAGAACTGAAACCTACGAAAGGTGTATGATGATACTATTATGCCAGTCAATGGCATATAGGAATGGTCATAAACAAGTATTTTACCATCTTTGCCTTCTAATCCAGGTAGGACACTTGGCGGGCCTATTAGAGCAATGAGACTTGAAGAAGATGAAGTTCAGCCTCAAAGAAAGAGAAGGTCTAGAATGACACCTAGAGTTGTCACTGATATAGCCACATTAAGAGACTACAAACTGGTATAAAATACAATTTCTATCATGTGGAGGGACACAACAAGAAAGGGTGTATCTTAACGAAGGAGGAAAATGCAGAACCTGTAGCAATTGGTTGGGAAAAGAGGCCTAGAAAATTGCATGTACTCACTCAATCTCTGTCTTTATATGTGTGTACTTCATACTTGCAATTGGACTCTATGGAATAAACATTGTGTATTTTTTTTCTTTTTTTTTTGTAGGTGAAGAGGACTAAAGTTTCCCAATTAAATCCTCCTTCATCCCAACAAAGTGTTGATCCTGCAAATGAAAACATAATTATGTAACTTTTTTGTCAATTAAACATGTGACAATCTTTAATTTGTTTTTTATTTATTTAACTTTTTTTTTAAATTTTGTAGGTGGGGGAAATGACGAACCTGCTCCAACAATTCTAAACAAAGAAAGTGTTACTCCCATAAAGGTAAAATTAT